ATCATCACCATCATTACCATCGTCATCATCATCACTATCATCATCACAGCATCATCATCACTATCATCATCATCATCATCATCATCATCACCACCATTATCACTATCATCATCATCACCATCACCATCTTTCATTACCACCATCATCATCATCACCATCACATCATCATCATCGCTATCATCATAATCATCACACCATCATCATCACCACCATCATCAACATCTCTGCATGGGCAGTGTGTCTGGGGACCCCAGGCCTCTGTCACATAAACTGCCTGGTGCCTGATTTGAAGTGGTTTATTTTCCTTGTTTCAGTCACAATGGAGCAGGATTTCCCTGGCCTCCATACCATTCACAACCATCAAACTTTTAAGTGCATTTTGTTTGCTTGTTCTGTTTTTCCTCTCCATGACGAACTTGCCAGGTAGAGAATTTTTACAGGCTGAGCAGTAACAATCTTAGGTAGGTGCAATCCATCATGCTAAGGTTAAATTGCAACCTGCTTCAGGCAGACTGTTTAAAAATTAAGCCTATTCAGTCTGTAAAGATGGACACAGCAAATAAAAGTGGAAATAAGCCAAAGAGCATGAGAGGTCTCCTGAGCCCTGATGCTTCATCCCAGGGAGGAAATCGCTACAGAAAACAAAGCACCCACACTCCAATTTTCTCTCTGTAGAGGACAGTTCCTACCTCCCTTCCTGTCTGCCTTCCCCCATCCTCACGGGTATTTGTGGGCTGCAGGTTCACAGTTTGCATCAGCTGAATAGACTTATCCAGAACCCACCTCCCTGTCCTATGGAATCGTGGAAAGTATAAAGCCTCTCTGCCGTTCACACTGGGTATTTACACCTCGTATCCAGACGGTACCCTGGAGAACTAAGCTTATGGGAATGAACCACGGACAGGCCATGAAATCTGTGCTAACATGTAAATTTAAAATTTAGTTTCTTGTTACATTGCTGTTTTCAACTGCATTTCTATTAACACAAATGAAAACTAATTATTTTTCTTCTTCCACAATAATAGTAAACAAAGTACATGAAAGATAAAAAACAAAGCAACAACAAAAATAAGTGCTCAGAAAATTGCAAAGTTAACTGATCCGAGTGCTGAAAATTCATTGAGCTTTGTTCAAGGGATCCACTGTGACCTCCTTATCATCACAGCAACTAAATGGTTTTTTTAAAAGTCTTTTAAGGTTTTTCTATAGCTCATTTAATATTTCCCTGAAGTTGTGGGATATCATATCCCTTGATACAAATCATTTTTTTATTTACAGAGGACCCTAACAAAACAGTAATAAAAATTGAACTCCTTTTGAGAGCTTTAGTCTTAAATTGATTCAAATGAAATGAGCTGTAATGGGCTGGGATCAACTGACTCTGGCATTCACCGTCTACGCAGAGTGTCACCCTGGGAATCAAGTGCGCTCATACACCGAGAGCAGCTGCAGCAGATGACGCCTGCAAGGCCAAGCAACAGAACCCACAGATCCACACTGCTCAGATGCAGGCTGCAAGGCTGACACCACCATTCTCACGGACAATCTATATGGATTAACAAATATTCAATAATAGGAAAGTTATTTTGTTGGAGATGCTGATTCCTTCGTATTTGATCATATGGAATATAGCTTTTCAATATGCCTATGTGATACTTAAACTGGAGGCAGGCTTAAGTCACCTCATAGACTTGCTCCTCTGCATAGCATCGAGGCCACAAAAGGTCAGACAGGTCACCGGTTTGAAGATGTGACCATTGGGAAATGAGATATATGTCTGAAGCTATTATAGTTTTGTGAAAATTATGGTGGAGCCTCTGGAATTGTTGTAAAAAGGACAAAACTAATAATTCACTTTTATTTACATAGACACTTGATTTGGAGCAGGGGTATGGAGAACAGAAGAAGAAAAAAGCAGTAAAATAAAAGTAATAATATCTACTTCCCCATCACTCAAAGGCAATTTATCCTGACATTCAGATAACCATGCTATCAATGGATAAATCATTAAGAATAGACAGAAGTAAAAAATTCAGCTATTAATTTTTTTATAACAATGTGAATAAAGTGACTGAAAAGATAGCTCAGGAGTTAAGAATACTTGCCACTCTTGGAGGGGGCCAGCAGTCCCCAGCATCCACATTGAAAGGCTCGAAATTACAGTTAATTCCAGCTCTGAGGAACCTGTCACCCTCTTCTGGCCTCCAGAGACACTTGCATATATATGTTCATATACATATAGTCACAAATAAATAACAAAAACAAACCTTTTTAAAATTTGTAAACACGTAATCAAAGAGATATAAAGGAACTAAAGAGTCAGGGGATGAAGACAATGACATCTAAACAGAATGTCCAATGATTTAACACTAAATTTAGTGCTAGAAGAAATACACAGAGTCAAAAACCCAGGCAGGCTACTTTGCCTTTTCATGTCTCTCTAAAGTATTTGCAACCACTGGACACTGGAGAATAGGTGAGGTTTTGTATTCTTGTAAAGGACCCTTTGTCCAGAAAATATTGTTGGATGTGTATTTCCATTAGAATATACAGCTCAAGTTCATTCATTTTAAAAATGTCTGTACTATATCCTGTATAGTACATATTTCCTAGATACACTCAGCCTGAAATCACTGGGGTGGATTGTAACTTTTGGCCAGGGATAAATCAATTTTATTTTCATAACTATGATGAAAGGAAAAGAGAATGTTCCTGGAATAAAGGCTCTAGGATCAGGATGGGTTTAACGAGGTCTGTTGTATCCTTCTGATGGAGAGGTTGCTCTTAGGGTTCCAGAGAAGGAACTATGGGTCCAAAGGATGATAATGAATCCAAGTGAATTCCTGACCCATGCCCACAGCTAAAGAGGATCTGAAAGTGAATCTAGTGTGTGTGAGGGCCTTCAGAAGTGGCCAGAGTAAGGTAAAAAACAGTAACCACAACAACAACAACAACAAAAAACAACCAAGAGTTACCAACTTGACAGGGTGGGACAAGTCCCCTCCATGGGATACAGGAGACAGGTAAGGATGAACTAGAACAATAATACACTGAGTTCAGTCTACCGAAAGCCTTTCTTGGTTCAGGAAAGGCAAACTGAATGAAAACAGTGCAAGTCTGGGTGAGCCTAGCATGGCCATCACTAGGGGAAGGTTTTTTTTTTTTTTTTTGAGTAAAATGGGAGGTGACTTAGCATGTTTCTATCGAGAGGTGAGTAAATGGGTCTCAGTGGTCAGTGGGGACCCAGGATCTTCAGGGCAGAGATGGCTGAGTAACCAGAGCAGAGCTGACTCCTGAGCCGCATAGCTGAAGAACTCGTTGGAACTAGAAGCCAGTGAGTGTGGGCCCCTAGGGCGGTGTCAGGTGTGGCTCGTGGCTGTTGGATTCATTGTAGTGTGTGACACTATCAGAGCTGTCTTGCCACCTGCTGTGCTAAAAAGAAATCCAGGAAGTAGCAGGCAAAGTGCAAAAGGCTGAATAGAGAAGAGGCCAATGCACGGCCTCTGCAGGCTCTTTCCAGGGCTGTGGGTGGCTGAGAACCGATGGCCTCTGCAGGCTGTGGGATTTCCTGATGAGATTCTGCCTTAGCTGTCCTACCTTTAAGATACAGCCGCCAATGCGATGCTTATTTCATAGACACGTCACTAACTAAACACATTAAGACAGGCAAAGTTCACAGTACCCTCCAGACAGAACTCAGGAATTATTTTACATTTAAGGAAACAGAGTAAAATCCTGACTACCAAAACAAACAAACAAACAAACAAACAAAAAACAGGGTTGTAATGATGAAAGGAAGTAAAGTAGTGTTAACAACTGGCTGTCACAATCTCAAGGCTAATTGCTTGATTCTATTCAGGTGCGTTTTCCCCAAAACTCCAACTGTAACTGTTAAGATACTTGAACGTGGAGAACGCATCCCAGAGAACTCTGGGAAATCCCCAGAACAATGTCCAGATAGTCTTTGAAACTTGGGTGAGGTTTTTCAACACAGGATGGGAGTGGGGGAAGATGGGAACAGGAAGAAACCACTTTTGATGTTGACAACTTTGTCTCCTGACTCCATGGCTCATGAGAAGCCAAAGGCCACCATTGACAGTTGGACTCAAAGCATTCCTAAGTCATGCCTAGAGTAGAAGAGACTTGGGGCTTTGGAGAAACATGGCCGTATTCTGCTAACCTCGGGCATTTTCTCCTTATTCAGTTTCTCTCAGGGCTCCCACACTTGCTTCTGTTTTGTGACCTGGGTGTTTGGAATGACCCTTTCATCCACTTCTGTGAACCTGGGAGTCTTGAAGGAAATCAGGGCTAATCTCTTGCATTCTTTTTTTCTTTGTTAGGGTGCCTGGCTGTTTAAAGAACTGGTCCTGAGCAGATGGCTGATGGGTGTTGTGGCAGAGCAACAGGTGTCAGACTGTCTCAGGAATAATGACCAGGTCTTCGGGTGCCACAGAAGTCTTGGGCTGAAGCCAGAATGGCAATGGTGGCTCTACTCTTCCAGTCAATGCCCAATGGGAGCACAGTACCACTGCCCCGAACTACTGCACTGGTGTCAGCTTGCCCTGAGAACCTCCTTGCAAATAACCCAAACAAATGCCCATACTACACGGCATAGCTGAACAACTGCCTGCCTTCTCACAGATGACAAACTCTGATCCCTAACACTGGTGATGCTTCTTCATTGCATGACAAGCACACAACCAAGGGCTCCAAGGGAAACAAAGGCACTATTATGAACTGTTCTTTGTCATCATAGGGAGTATGGATCTCAGCAACAGTACAGCTGGTCTTGCTATAGCGTGTCTTCTAGTATTTCCCTTTCCTCATTTTCTGAATTTATTATTGTTATTACTATTACACTTATGTTTCCGTGAAACTTCATAGAGATCCTGGGTACATACTCTGGTCTCCTTTTTCTACTCACAGACCCTTCTAACTGACAGAGACACAGTTTATAGATGAGATAAATTAGGCTCCAAAGGTGAGGTAGCTCCCCACAACCCAGGCGGGTCCAGCTACACCTCTGTCTTTCCTGGCCAGCCCCCTCCCTGTTTCCTGACCCACTGCCCATGGATGAATGAAATGAAAGCGTGTGGCCACCTACCCACACACCTTGGCAGAGGTGCACTCCACACTCGGCGTCCCCCACCCAGGCAGGTAAGCTTGGTTGCACCTTCTAAGCGGTATCCCTGGAAGCAGGTGAAAGCCAGCGTGTCGCCCACACCAAACTGGAACCCAATTCTGCGGCTGAAGGCAGGGACTCCAGGGTCATCACAGGGCTCCAGGTCATATTCTGAAAACAAAACAGACAGGATGGATAGCAAGCGTTCTCATCAGACTTTCCTTGGATTGCCAGCCCCCAAATAATGACACGGAAATTCATTGATTATGAAAGGTTGGCCTTAGCTTAGGCTTGTTTCCAACTCTTTCTTACAACTTAAATTAATCAGTTTCTCTTAATCTATGTTTTGCCACATGGCTCTTTATCTCTTCTCCATTCTGTATGCCTGACTTGCTCTGCAACTCTCTGGCAAAGTCTGCTGTGCCACATTCTTACCCAGAATTCCTGCCTCTGCCTAGGAGTCCCACCTAACTCTCTTCTGCCTCGCTATTGGCCATTCAGCTCTTTATTAAACCAATCAGATGAAACAGCAGCACATCTTCACACACTGTGATCACATATCCTGCAACAAGGGTGGGGGTGGGGTACCTGGGAAGCAAGAAAAAGTAGCATGGAGGAGGAATGGGAGAATACTGAAAGAAACCTCCTTTGACCCCCATTCTCTCGCTCTCTTTCCCTCCCTCCCTCTCTCCCTTCCTCCCTCCCTCACTCCCTCCGTCCCTCCCTCTCTTCTCTCCTCTCTCTCCTTCTCTTTTTTGTCATATCAATTCCCACCCTTTGTCCCATAGATTCTAGCTTCAATCTCAATAGTTCACAACATGAACATACTCATGCAATAAGGTAAAATGGGATGAAACATTCTACCTTCCCTTTGAGAGAACAAAATCAGTTTTCTGGTGTTCACAGCTACTAAACCCGAAAACTCTACACTTTCTTTAAATGGAGTTTTCACGGAGAAGGCATAGGGCAGAAGGCAGTGTATGCTTCCTGTAAGTAAGTGGAGTGCTAGCAGTCAGCTCATCAGGACCAAGCGCCCTGTAAAACAGGCATGTCTCCAGCAAAGCTATTCTCAAGGTATGACCCGTGTTTTACTGACATACAGTGAAGAATATTTTGTTAGCTAGAAACGTCTATAAGCCACGCTGGAAGCAAACATGGAATAAGTCTGAAACAAAGCCACATTGTCTGGCATACGGCTGCATGTGCGGAGCATGTCTTCGGACTGTTGGTACCACTGAGGATCTTTTGTGCCAGCCCCATGTTTTCAGATGCCCATTGGGACCACACTGTGTGTGCAGGTGGGACATTGCTTGCCGTTGGTATCCCTGATTCTCTATGGAGAGTGCTAAGAATTGGTGAGTCCGACAGACAAGGAGGGAGAGTAAATGAAGATGGAAGAGTAAATGAAGATGCTTTAGTTTCTTGTGCTCTGCTTCACCTGAAATGCCCCATGTTCAGTACGGTCCTATCAGCGTCAGACCACAGGCCATGCAGATGGCCCTAGAGCCTGGAGATGAGGAATGGTATGAAGAACTGTTCTAGCTTTCTTCCTGGAGCTGTGGTAAGACAATTTGACAAAAATCAAATTCAGGGAGGAAGAGGTTTTATTTAGCTTGCACTTCCAGGTCACGGTGTGTCACTGAGGAACATCAAGGAACTCAAGCAGCAAATGAAGGAGATACCACAGAGGGATACTCTTTACTGGCCTGCTGTCTGGCAAGCTCAGCCTGCTTTTTTAGACAGCCAGGACCATTTTCCTAAAAATGATCCTTTAGTGAGAGGGGCCCTCCGAAATTAATCAGAAATCAGGACGGGCAGACCCACAGGGCACTGTGGTCCAAGGAATTCCCCAGCTGGAGAGCCCCTTATGTTTTGTCAAGCTAATGATAAAACTAATCAGAAGAGAGATGAGAAAAGTTTGACTGAGGAACACTCTTTACTGTAGGAAGAGCGGGGCCATTTCTTCCGAGAGAGGTATGTGATCAAGTGGGAACCTTGACTGCCATTTTATGGAAAGGTGCCTCCAATTTTGGGTTTCCAATCTTCAATTCTCCAATCTTTACATCTTATAATCAGTATTGCCAATGAACACAGAGAGTAATCTAATTCGTTGGTGCTTTCCTTATTGTTTTTCTTTCAAACCCAACCATTTTTCATTCTTATCAGGTTATTAGAATTTTACTAAAATCTCACTGTAGAACACTCAACATAAGCTCCTCCTTCATTTCATCTAGTAACTGCTTAATCTCTTAGGTCTATGCTGTCACTGTTACTTGCTTTGTCCTACGCTTGGGGCAAATATCTGCTTTAGATCTCTAAAACACTCAAATTCAGCTCAGCATTGCGAGAGAGCACTTCCTAATTTGACCTTAGTCTACCATGTTCCAGGGAAGGGAAAGACAGGAAGGGTAACCCATTGAGCTCAAGAACTTCTCATTCAAAGCTGTCACAGGCAACCCAGAGACTCTGCAGGAAACACTAGAATGAAGATGTCCCAACTCAGCAGACATTTCTGCCCGGAGTTATTTTCCTTCTTCCTGAAAAATGTGCTGCACACTCTGAAAATAAATGTTCTCCGCTTGTAAGAGCAATTAGAAACTCTTTGCAAATACGCTAGAGACACCGATGCTTTACCTCCCACAGTTTGTACAAAGGCACCCCAAGAACTAAGAGTCTTTTCTTTGTGTCTACTTCATTTTGTAATTTATTCCTTAATTTTTAAAATATTTATTTCATTTTCATTTACATTAATGTGTGTGTGGTGTGTGTGTGTGCGCGTGCGCACGTGTGCACATTTGTATAAGTGTATCCACAGAGGTCAAAGGAAGACACTGGATCCCTCTAGAGTTACAAGTGACGACGAGCACATGAATGTTAGACCACTAACTCAGATCCTCTATAAGAGCAGCAAGTGATTTTAACCACTGGTCCACCTCTCCATCCCCTTATTTGGCAGTTTAGGCGAAGCCTTCACTGTGTGCCTGTTAGAACAGAAAGGGTTTAATCTTATCCCATGGGAAATGGGGGGTATATTAATTTCTGTTATCCATATACATAGCGGTGGCTTCTCATATTTATAGCTATTAACTTTGTCATGGTGTACACTTACATTGTGCATTCCCCATATTTTTTCTTTCATAAAAGCATATTCATTTCATTTTATATGTATGATTGCTTGCCTGCACATATACATATATGTGGGGTGTGTGTGTGTGTGTGTGTGTGTGTGTGTGTGTGTGTGTGTGTTGAGCCTATGGAAGTCAGAACAGGTCATCAGATACCCTGAAATTGGAGTTACAGATGTTTGTGAGCTACCAAATAGGTGGAGAGAATTGAACCCAGGTCCTCTACAAGAACAAAACATGCTCATAACTAAGGAGCCATTTTTCCAGGGCCATTCTTTATAATTTTTACAACAGAAAGGAAATACATTGCTCTCAAGGTTTTACTTTCCTTTTGACTAAAAGGTTTTCATTTTGGAAATTAATCTTCCTAATTTTTCTTCATTTGCTATCTCAGCTTTCCATGTAAGCATGTGTGCTTCAGGGTCTGCCTCACATGGAACATAGGAACCAGGTTCCACAAAGGCAGCTAGCTTGCTGACGCAGGGCCACGTCTCAGGAGGGTTACAGTGCAGCTGCCCTGGAAGTGTGGGCTGAGTCATTAAAGCGCAATGAAAGAGTGAGTAATTTCTTTGAAGCATCCCGTACTCACAGTTCAGCCATGGGAAAAGACACCATCCTTTATAGACACGTGTATGGCCGAGTAAAGCAGATGAACAGTATGGAGATATACACTTTTGTAGGTGCTACGATCGGAACATGTCCATTAACGGTCACGTTGGAATTCAATGGCCATTGTGACAGTACCATGAGGATGGAGAAGTGGGAGGTGGGGAGACCTCTCCCCCTCAAATACAGGATGGCTTAGTGGTGCTAGAGCTACAGGGAGCTCCTCGCACCAAGAGCATGCTCAGCTCCACTTCTCCATGTCGAAGCCTCCGTGATCCTTTTACTGGCATCCTGAGCTGAGCAGTAGAATGGATTGTGCCAGGTCTACATCTACAGTCTTACATTTACAGCCATAGAATCATCAGCCTAAAATATTGCACGCATCTAGTGATAGACTTCCCACAAAAGCTCCAAACAAACAAACAAACAAACAAAGAAAAACAAAAACAAGAAAACAAGCCCAGAACCCATGCCTTGCTGTGCAATGGCTTGTGTGACAGCTAAAGGGGATCAAAATAAAAACAGTTGGGCTGAGGTTAAATTTCTGAAGTTTGTTGCTTTGGTCTGACAGACTGGTCCAAAGTTACGCCTTGGATAGGTACTGGGCATTTCTTTCCTGAAAGGGTTAAAACTTGAGCGTTGTACGACAAGGATGCTTGTGATGACACAGCTCAGAAGCAGTAATAGGTGGCAGAACCTAGTTCTGAGACCTCCGAGCAAGCAGAACTTGAGGGTGGAATACTTATTCCTCCCCAGAGTCTCAGCCGTTCTGTTATAGCAGCACAGATGGGCTGCGGCACACATCCAAAGACCCAACTGTCAGTTCCGCACTGGGAGCACTAGACTTAAGAAACAGATGGGGAAAGATGAATGAAAACGGCATAGACTCCCAGGCAACGTCTGTGGAAGACAGCCACGGGCCTCGCCGCCATCTCCTTCTCTAGAGTATTCTATTTAAACTCATTATAGATCAGGGTGCAAGGACATAGATGGGAGGGGAATTCTCATGGTGACCATAAGAGATCCTCTAAGGAAACTATGGGAGAGGGATTCAGGCACCACCATGAGGAGACTGAAGTCTATCATTGATACAGTGGCCAATAATAGTACTATTACAACTACAGTAAACTTTCAAGAAATTTGAGCCAGTCCTCAAAGCCTCTTTGTTCTTAAACATAGCAAGAAAACCAGCAAAATCAAATTAAGGTAACTGAAGCTCTCCTTAAGGAGAACTGTTGGAGAGTTGTTCTGTTTTAGATAAAATAACTTCATGCCATGAGTGATGCCCCTTCCCTGTGACAAACAGGTCACAGAGCTGCTAGGGAGCCAGCGGGAGTCTTCTATCTATGGGATATAAGATGGATCATCAAATATTACAACAATCACTAAGTGCCCCAGTAGGGTTTATGGACTTTAGACTTAAGGAGATCCTCTACACAGAAGAAATCACAGACAATTAAGGCACTAGCAGACCATATCATAAAACTGAATTACTTTTGAACCATGAAGAACGAAATTTGGGGTTTTGGTCAGAACATCGAGTATGTCAGCACATGCGAGTGTAATTGTTCACCCCATTGGTGGTTAGAGGTCACTCCTTGTCAGTGGAGTGTGTAGATAATGGAAGAAGAGTGAGGATGAAGATGTGTGTTCTTCATTTTGATCAGTATCTTTCTCATCTCTAAGAGATGAGGGCAAAACAGCACAGATTGTGCACTCTCAGCTATGTAAGTAACACCAAATGCAGCAGAAATGCTCCACACACTACCTCCCACGGAAAACAAGGAAAAGAGTTTCTTGACTCTGTCAGGATATTGCCACCATGTATAATTCTGATAAAGGAACTAACACTCTGTCCTTTTCTGTGTGTAAGTGATTCTCAGCTGGAGGGGCAAGAATCCATGACAGTTGCCCCTAAACATTGATCCACGGAGTCAGGTTTGGTCATAGCTGGTGGAACTGATAAGGGGAAGTGAGCAAGGACACCTTTTTCGGAAATAGAGTTGTATTTACCAATTTCCAAAGAAGAGAATGTATGTGTAATGCAAGACTGAATGGCACACCAGTTGCCAAACAGACATGAGTGCATAAGCATTCTGCCTCCACATCCTGTGGATTGATAATTTGCTGAGCGGGGGCATAGAGAGAGGAAGAGAGGGAGATGAAGAGAGAGATAAAGAGAAATTGAGACACAGGAGACACATACACAGAGAGAGAGACAGACAGAGAGATACAGACACAGAGAGAGAGATAATCCAAGACAGAGACAACAAAGGGTTAACATACCTGCAAAGGTGATGTTGAAGCCTTCATAGGAGATGGAGAAGTCAGAAATGAACCTGAGCTGCGCAGTGAAGTTTCCAAACAAGCCAGCCTTGATGGTGTGGGGCAACACCGAGCCAGTGAGCCTGGCCACTGGCTCCGAGAAACTCCCATCCTCCGTGATCAGCAAATAGTCGTGGGAACTTTCCAGATGGAAGGTGTGGAAATTCATCTGCACGCCTGAGAGATGAGGGAGGGACAGTCGGTTTAGCTGCAGCTGAAAAGAATCTCTTCTGGGCATAATTATAGACATCAAAGGTTTGGATCAAAATATCTTAAATTGTGAAATATTAAAATTATCTTGTAGGACTCTAACTTTGAACTTTCAGAGAAAGATTAGACAGAGGCAGTTCTAAAATCAAGAAGAAGCATTAAACAAAAACAAGTGCTCAGATAGTTACAGGATCAGTTACAGACAGACGCTGCCATGGGTTTTTGTGTAGATATGGACCCAGATGTTGATACAGAGAAGCTGCATGTAGTTACTGATACACCCAGGATACAGGCGAGATATAAAAACTAATTAAACATCAGCATGGATATGATACTCATGGTCACATGGGCAAGAATGAACACAGATGTAGATATCACCACAGGTGTGTGCAGATGGCCATCTGTGACAAGGTATAAGAGTGTAAGGTATAAGGTATAAGAGTGGCTACAAATACAGATAAAGACATAAAGGAATCTACATTATAAGAGTAGCTACAAATACAGATAAAGACGTAAAGGAATCTATAGAGACAAGTGCGGGTTTGTAAGGACAATAAGAAGGTTGATGCTTGACTGAATTCACTAAAGGTCCCCAGGCACAGGGCAGGGGGTGTTCACCCCAGAGAGACAAAACACTGAAAATCTCTCCATTTCCATTTCTCTAACTTTATAAATATTACTTTGGAGATAACATATAAAACATACACTGCTGAGGGCAAATTCTCTTGAAATTAAAGTTTTGTGGGCCTCAGGCTGTCTTCATTGAATCCAGGCTCATAATGCACTATTTCTGATTTTTTTTTCTGCTGAAGCATATAAAATGATCTATAAGTGGATTCCTTTAAAGAGTTACATTTTTTTTCTAATTAAAACACCTTGGATACTCATAATCTGTTTAATCTTAATTTGTTTCAGGGCCATATCTTTCTTTCTTAGGGGTTTATTATTATTGTTTATCTGTGTACTCATGGCTCTCTGTGTAGATATGTGTACGTGAGCAGAGGTGCCCTCAAAGGCCAGAGGCAACTGACCTCCTCACATTGGAGTTATAGCTTGTGAGCTGACTCATGTAGGTGCTTGGATTTGAACTCAGGTCCTCTGCAAGAGTAGCATGTTCTCTTATCTGCTGCACCACCTCTTCATGTTTTTAATATGTGCTCAGGGATGAGTGTCAAACATATCTACAGGGCACTGTAATGTGAGGTCAATGTAACATCTAGTTCAATAAAACACCAAGTGGAGTTCAAATGTATGTTGAAAGGCACAGTCTACTTAACTAAGTCTACTACAGGGTCATCTATGAGAAAAGAAATTTTATCCATGAAAATACAACACATAAAAGTTGTATATATATATTGTAAAGTGATCATTGCAACTGTATTCAGGTCTCTAGCACAAGATAAAGACTGTTGTTTTGTTTTTATTCTTAAAATTAAAAGGCTCTTTAAAAATGACAGTTACAGTTATAGATATATAATAACATACCCAGGATACCTTGCTAAATTCAGGATTTGCAATCTGTATTTCCCACACAAAATACCACCTGGCTTCTTTGCATTTACCACTTGTCTAAGGTCTGGATTTATCATAAGGACAAAGTCAAGCAAATTTCGAACAGAAACATGAATGTTTCTCAGACGTACAGAAGTTTAAGCAATCTCCTCATCTTATATTGAATCAATATTTACATTTTATTTAATTGGAGCTCATTTTCCTTATCATTACATTTAATTTCCAAGTTTATATTCTCACATATCCATCCAGGTCACTGAGTGGAGAACAAGACCAACAAAAGCGACCTCTGCTTCACTCTAGTCTCATAAAAAATAACAGTTAAGGGCTTAGAAACCATGAAGTGCCATTCATCCTCTTGGTTTTTCCTTACAGCTTCCTCTAGTCCAGGCTCCCCAGTGTGCAATGTTCTTTGTACCAAGGCCTGCCCTTTGTCTTACCCTTGCCATGAGAGACTTCAATGGTCCACGTACAGTTCAGAGAGTTTGGATAAAAGTCTGGAAATCCTGGAGAAAGGACAGTCCCACTCTTTCCATGAATGTAGCCTCCACACAGGGCTGAAATAACAGGAAACATGACAGTCTACAATGATTGCTGGACAAAGTGCTTCTAATGGACAGTGAGCTTGCATAACTATTAGTAGGATAAAATTGAAATGTAGACATTTTTTTTACATGCAGTTATAAGATGCCAGTTCACAAGCAGGTATCTCCATCGCAGCACAGTCATAAAACCTAACTCAGAGGAGAGTGGGGCAGAGAAGTCCAGTGTTGATGCATCAGGAGAACTGATGATGCATTAAGATGCATTAAGCTGTAGTTCCCACCCTCCAGGGTGGAACTTAACAGCCCTTTGGTGAATTCAAAATCCTTGTCGCATGCTAGGCTATGTTCAAACAAACTCAAAGATTTAAGAACCATAAATTTACTTACAATAATTCAAGCAGGAAAGAAATAATTTGCAGCAGTAAAATACACTTAGCATTTTAAGGATTTTTATTAGACATGATAATCATTAAACACATGAAGCCATAGCTGCTATCACGGAATGCACATGATTGGCACAAGATCAAGCCACCTAAATTCTAATATGGATGGGGAGGGGCATAGGAAGTCTCACCCCTAGACAAGGAGCTACTGGTAAGAGATGGCTATTATGGAAGGAGAGTCAATTTTCTTCAGGGCTGCAGCCCCTGACAGACCTCACATGCTCCAGTGAATGGCCCCACAGCCATCACATACAGACAGCACTAAGTGGACTCAATGAACTTAAAAGAGAGAGAATGAACCTGAAGTTGAAGAGGGAAAAGTAGAAGGGAGACAGAGAAGAAATTGGACAGAAAAAAATGGAGGTATGAAATAGATTAAATACAGGTATAAGCAAGAAAAAAATAGAAATAAAATTATGGTGCATATATGTATAAATTGTGGAAAAGACATTTTAAAGAGAGAAATATCTTTCTTTTTTGCTGTGGGAGTTACTTCAGCCAATAGCCTTTAAGATACCAGCCCACTTGGGCATGATCTTTTCTCATGCTTCATAGGCCATTGTAGGGGGATGGCATTTTTCTGAGGAAGATGAAGGGACACATTAGGTCCCTGCCTGTGGAGTGCATGGGTTACTGCAGGGATAACCAGGTCACAAGACTGCTCTGTAAGGCACAGGGAGAAAAGAAAGCAGATGGCCAGATGCTAGTGGCAGTCAGGGGGAGAGGGGCAGACAGGCATTAGCTATAGAGCCATCACAGCTGTCAGGAATGGTCCAGCAGTCCAAGCCAGAAGCCCAAGTATAACATGGCAAGAGGATGGAGATCTTTGAAGAGAGTGGGGTTCAGCTTTGGTGATGCTATTGGGCATCCAAGCAAAGGGCTGGAGCTGGAATGGGGTGGATGAGTCAGCTTTCCCATGGGAAACAGACCAGGAAGCAGGAAGGCACAGTGGTGGACAGTCAGTCATATACCGTGTATGTGATCTAACAGTGGAAAATGGCGCCCAGGCATTTACCATGTGAACAGGACAGTGGAGATGGAAGATTCTAGAGAGGAACCTGAAGCAGTGGAACCAGGACAGGACGGAAAGAAATGGAGGCCTGAGGTCCTGATTGTAGAAGATGTATACAGTGAATCTTAATTTATTTTGGGACAGGCATAAATCAGCCCAATAAATTCTCAAATCTTATGAAGGATTTAACTGTAAGAAATTAAAGTCTTTTATAACACTTTAACAGTGAGGTCCCTTACATCCAAGGTTTCTAGGACAAGGTACTCTGAAGACTGCCCATGCTCCTTAACTCATAAAAAGTAGTTCATATCCAACTATACTGAATAATTACAAAATCCATAATTCATCATATGCAGGCTAACCTGTGTATGCAGCTGTGCACCTGTGTGGAAGACAGAGGCCATCCTTCAGGGTCATGGCTTAGGGATCATTCCTTCTGCTTTTGAGATGGGGTTCCTCACTGGGCCTAGAGTGCTCTGATTCACTAAGCTGGCAGGCCACTGAGCACCAGAGATCCGCCTGTCTCTGCCTCCCCAGTGCTGTTCAGTGATGGCCCATTCTACTGTGGAAGACTCAGAGCGCTAATCAGCTTTCATTTGGGGCACGTGGGGAGAAAATTGCAGGTGAGCCCAGTCTTCCTGTCCATCTTGATCCCATGGGCGCATACAGAGCTCTCTCTGGCCCTCTCATTGTCAACAATCTAAATAAAATAACCGCACAAAGACCGCAGGCTTCAGGAGAGGGGAATTTGATATTCAGAGAATGGAATTGAAATTCTCAGCTAAATCTGAAGAGAGAAGAGAATAAGATAAAACGCAGACTTTTACTTCAGGGTCCCTACAGGACTTGACTATTCATAGATGGTCATGTCTCTGTTCCCTTAGCAGAGCCACCAATTTAACCACACAGAATTTGAATTGCATGAATCTATTTCTTCATGCACCATGGAGACTTTTCTGGGTAGTTATAAAAGCTACAGTAAAAATTTACTTCTAACTTCCTTCAGGCTGTCGCTCTGAAAGTTTGACACTTGTGTTTCTAGGATCTCCCCCACTGTCTAGGACCCAGACAGTTTTATCAAAAAAGCCCCTTGGACAGATGACTAAAATATTCAGAAAACAGAAAAGGGAAGAGCAGGGGAAGGTGGACATCTTTCCCCATGTGTGCTGAGAGGAAGCGCCCACTGAAGATCAAGTTTGGTGCTGACCTCTCTGCTTGGATCTCAGTTTCCATTACAAATCCTTTACTGAGGGCTGTACCCTGGTCATCCTAACACCCCTTCATGCTCTCAGGCATACAGAATAATATTCAAAGAAGTCTCTGACATCTTCAAGATATAATCTAGTGAGAAAAGCAGAAGTAATTACTGAAAAACATCGATAACAAAGTGAGGCTTATTCTGCAGGGGAAAATGCCAAGCAGCTGTCAGACCTCAGAGGTAGCTCAGGTGTGTCGTCTACAAAGTGCCGTTGAGATGGCAAATAAGAAGGTGAGCTGCTGTTCACAACCGGGAAGGTGGAAACGCCGGAAGTGAGGACAGGCTGGTAGGATGTGTGAGGAGGTGCTCCTCCTGTATTGCCCCGTGGTATGTGAGCTCATGCATGTCTTTGGCCTGTTCAGATCAGCTTGACTGGGCAAGACACATCGATCTACACACCCCACAGACCTCCCATGGACACTGCAGTGACTCTTTTCAAAATTCTCACCTCTTCCCTCCACAGGTGTCATCTCTATGCTCACAACAAGAGTTGTGATCTAAAGCACTGAAGTTTACAGAATCAATTTCACTTCTTAGATCCAAGACAGGATGTAAGAAGCTCAAGACTCAGTGTCTACCTTCACTGAGGAAGACAGGGGCTGACATATGGGGGCTATACTCCGGAACAGAGTCCTTTTTCATGAGAGTTGAGGTTACTAGAGAGGAAAGAACAAGGTGCCATAGATTCTTCTCTCTCCCTGTTAGGTACTTCACAATGCCCACAGAAGCTGAAGACCCTCAAATCCACACAGCCTCTTCCTTGAACTATTTCCATCTGCCACTTACATGAACGTGATTTGTGACTCCACTCTGTCCTATACCCACAACGTCACACTTTATATGTGGCTCTGCCTATCCCCAGTTCAGCTTTCCTTTGTGCCTTATGCTGCAGCAGGACCCCAGGGCCTTACATTGCTAGACAAGTGCTCTAACATCAAGCTAAAGGCTTTGCCTTGCTCTAGAAACTTCAGCTGGTCTATTTGGGTCTTCTAATCTAATTGAACTCTCACTTTTTGCCTAGTGTCTTCTTTGAAAAAATTCAACGTGAAGCACAAAATCTTATGCTTCCTTTCTTTCTTCCTTTTCTCATCTTCATTAATTTCTGCAGTTTTTGTGCTTACTTTATGGGGATGGGACTAAGAAAACACAGCTGTATTTCGTTTCTCTCTTTTCCAGGGTGACCCCTGGCCTCTCTGTAGTTGACAGGAGTCACTGACTAGATCTCCTTCTTTGCACATTTATTTCTATTGGACTCGTATTCTCAAAAGAGATGTTGGACAGGCACCCTGCAGTTCAAGGCAGCATTAAATCAGGACTGTCTGGATGTAGAAGGTGAGCTCTCTAGGACACATCCGTAACTGTTTCCACTCTCAGAGATGAAGGGCTCTGGCTGAGGGGCCCTGAGCCATCATCCTGACTTGTGATGTACCCAGGGACACCTTGAACTGTGTCTCACTACTCCCCTTAGCAACCAGTGTTTACCACTAACCCCCATAGCCTACTGCTCACTCTTGTTTCTTTGCCCTGAGTCAAATGATTTATCCAGAATAAGGTCTCTTCGAGAAGACCGACCTTGAATGATGCCTCCCAGGCCTCTCAAGACTGCACATTATAAGTCTTATATTTTATGTTTTCATTTCTCTATTCCCAGTCACTTTTCTTTCTTCGCTTCCTTCAAAAACTCTATTTCTCCTTTCTTATGCCGATGTTAACTGTTAGGCAGCAAACACAATTGTTTTGCATTAAATGTTTTGTGGAAAGAATAAACATTTGGCAAAAAATATTTAATAACAACATTTCCAAAATGATCTGTGCATTTGTTCTTTTCCCAATGAAAGGAAGACAAAGATTCCAATCCTCAATTTCTTTCTTTAAAATGGTCGTGTGCGAACAGCAGTTTTTGAAAGGAACAAATGCAGTACTTGGAAAAGGGAAAGACAAGGTTTATCTTCGTTTTAGGTGAGATAAAATATTATAATTAATTCTAATTTATGTTTCCTTGCTGAGGACTATGAATTTTTAGAGGTTTACATTTCCTATTGATGTAGGGTTTATTGCAATAAAAACCTGTGAGATTTAAAAGACTGTGTGAGATTAGAAAGGGCAAGGAGCTTCTCAGAGCTCAGTGCAAACAGCCAGGACTAAATAAAACTCTCATGCAAACCCTTAAACTCTCCTAGAATGGGAAGACTTATTAAAACCTTTCAGGGTAAGCTTTTCAGTCCTGGGAAGGTGCTACAATGTAGCATAGCAAATCACCTTAGGGATCCTCTTAGACGGATCAGATTTCAAATTTGCATAAATTTGACTTGGAAGACAATAGACAAAATGTCTAAGCTTAATGCACTTTTATTTTCTCCAGATGTCATTCATCACTGGCCTCTCTGCAACATCTCAGCCACTTCCTGGGCACACAGACCACTCTAGGAGAGCGAGTCCTACTCTAAGTCATTTCCTGTCTAAACATTCTTTCTCTACTGACCAATACTCTAGGAATTGGACACTGTACCCTGTGCATTGAGGCCCAGTGTTCTCCCTCATTCCTGCTGGGTAGGATGCCTCCTCACGTGCTGAGTACCTCAGGAAACATCAACCCTCACTGGGTCTAGAAGCCATTAGTCGCTTATAGTCCCTCATGGCGGCCGTGGGGACCTGGGCAAGGCTCTGCGGTGAATGAGCTGTGAGCCTGGCTGGCGTGCGTCGAGCCACGTGCACCCCACCCCCAGGGGCTCTTCACCCTGATGCTGCATCGGTGCTGAGCCTGTCCGGGTCGGGACAATGGTGAAGGATTTCCTGGGCCAGAGCGTGCTCTGAAGTTCCTGTGACCAAGTGTTCACTGCCTTCTGGCAACGGTACCCGAATCCCTATAGCAAACATGTCTTAATGGAAGATATGGTACACCAGGAGGTGACCCCTGATCAGAAGCTTCTGTCCTGGAGACTCCTGACCAAGACCAACAGGATGCCACATTGGGCAGAGAGACTTTTCCCTGCCAATGTTGCTCACCTGGTGTACATCCTGGAGGACTCTATTGTGGACCCACAGAATCAGACCATGACCACCTTCACCTGGAACATCAACCACGCCTGTGTGATCGTGGTGGAGGAACGATGTGTTTACTGTGTGAACTCTGACAACAGCGGCTGGACCGAAATCTGTCGGGAAGCCTGGCTCTCCTCCAGTTTACTTGGTGTCTCTTGAGCTGTCCAGGAATTTGGCCTTGCCCAGTTCAAAAGCAATGCGACCAAGATGATGAAGGGCTTTGAGTACATCTTGGCCAAGCTACAAGAGGAGGCCCCTTCCAGAACACTCGTTGGGACAGCCAAAGAGGCCAAAGAAAAAGCAAAGGAGACGGCACTGACAGCTACAGAGAAGGCCAAGGACCTGGCCAACAAGGCCGCCACCAAGCAGCAGCCGCAGCAGCAGCAGCAGCAGCAGCAGCAGCAGCAGCAGCAGCAGCAGC